ACATGTTTTCAGAGCAGAGGCATTGCTGGGTGAAAGCCTTCTCGGTCTCTGCAGCCTGTAAGAAAAAAAAAGAAGAGACAAAAATGTCCTGTAAGTGTTATTCCATACGACTCACGTCCAAATATAGGGGCCATGAACGAGGGAAACCATAAATGGTGGTTATAACTAACATTTGAGGATAGACAGTAGACACAATGGGAATTTTCTTAAGCAACATCAGCTTCTCCAGGTGGAATGAAAATCATCTGAATGGCTTTCATCAAGATACTCACCAAGGTCCCTCCCATTAGAGAGAGAGAGAGAGAGAGAGAGAGAGATATGATGGTCAGGGGAGGGTGCAGGGGTAATGTGGTTAGTGTACAGGGACGGGGCAATTAATGATGTGAAGCTGATTATACGGAGAACTGCACACACAGGTCACTATATCTCCCTTTACTCACCGTCCTTCTTCATCCCTCCCCTCCTCCTCCCTTCCACCCGAGGAGTCACCACAACAACCACAGTCCCTCCCCATCTAACCATGTCAGAAACACTCTCTCAAAAGTCTGAGCATAGAAGGAATCTGATAACTCAGTAATTGTCCATCCTGGTTTATTCTAAATGCTTAACAAGTACTTTCTCAGGAGGACGTTGTTGAGAAATCGTGATGTATTGTTGAGATATCATCGCTTCGTTTCACAATAAGGGTGCAATGATATCTTTATTTGTAACTTGGCAAGTCATTCCAAATGTGATATCAAAAGAAAATAAACAGTTACCAAAGGATGACATAAGAAATGTGTGCAGGCGTTGGATCTGATTTGATTCCATTCTTACAGTATGTTGTGATTGTCATCATTGCTCATTGTCTCATCATGTTCTCATGCCATAGGCTACTACTCGCCCTCCTACTCACTTCTGGATCAAAATCTCCATCTAGTGGATATTGCATGCTGTTGCAAATGTCACCTGACTCACCAGGCTCTCTAAGAAGCATAGTCTTGTTATCTATGGTTGTGGTTCAGCTGTAAAACATCTAAACAAGGACAGTATGTCACCATGCACTGATTTTCTCATTGGAATCACGTGGCGATAAGAGACATTGTGGTGTTTTGGCTTGGCCATGGATTCACCCTGGGCATAGGTGTGTTGTGTTGGTGGAAACAGGTTCATACATTTATATGCAGGCCTACAAGTTGAACTGTTCCCTTTCACAATGCCAGAGCACACATGACACATTCCAGATGAATAACCATATGGAGATGAATTGACATTTTTGACATGCGTTTTTCTGGATTTTTTTTGTTGTTATTCTGTCTCTCACTGTTCAAATAAACCAACCATTAAAATTATAGACTGATCATTTCTTTGTCAGTGGGCAAACGTACAAAATCAGCAGGGGATCAAATACTTTTTTCCCCTCACTGTATATGTGTATGTGTATGTGTATGTATATATGTATATGTATATATGTACAGTGGGGGAAAAAAGTATTTAGTCAGCCACCAATTGTGCAAGTTCTCCCACTTAAAAAGATGAGAGAGGCCTGTAATTTTCATCATAGGTACACGTCAACTATGACAGACAAAATGAGAAAAAATTTTTCCAGAAAATCACATTGTAGGATTTTTTAATGAATTTATTTGCAAATTATGGTGGAAAATAAGTATTTGGTCACCTACAAACAAGCAAGATTTCAGGCTCTCACAGACCTGTAACTTCTTCTTTAAGAGGCTCCTCTGTCCTCCACTCGTTACCTGTATTAATGGCACTTGTTTGAACTTGTTATCAGTATAAAAGACACCTGTCCACAACATCAAACAGTCACACTCCAAACTCCACTATGGACAAGACCAAAGAGCTGTCAAAGGACACTAGAAACAAAATTGTAGACCTGCACCAGGCTGGGAAGACTGAATCTGCAATAGGTAAGCAGCTTGCTTAGCTTAGCTTAGCTTGTAAGCTCACGATGAACTTGTGCGTTGTGACCTGGCAGCTTCAGCACTAGCTGATGTCAGGTTTGATTGCCTAGAGCCTCTAGAGCTTGAGCACCGTGACCTGGTCTCCAACATGTTGTATGGGCTGCCCTCTACATCTGGATGCTGAAGGAAAGGCTGGGGTGTTACCTTGATCCTTTGGTTGTTGTATGATGAGCTTGGGTTACCTCCCTGTGATGATGTCTGAAGAGTCTGGCTGGATAGCGATGTGAAGAAGGGATCCACTCTTCCTGTGTCTGGGCCCATCGTGTAGTCAGTCTTTTTACTGTTCTGCCCTCACAATGTGTAAGCTACAAAGCTTGGCAGTCAGCTTACACTCTTCCAATAAAGAATCAGGAGGCATTGGTACCGTTTAAGAATCTTTAGTAGAAGCTATTTTGTTTTGTAAAACTGTAACAGATAAAGAAAGGAGAAAATGTATTAGAAAAGTCACTATATACATTCACACAAATGGATACAAATAAAGAACAGCATTTCTATCACGAGCTAGCAACAACAAAACAAGCCTAGCTAGCGAACATGATCATGCAGAAATGATGACAATTTACATCACAGGAAAGGTGCCACAAAACATATACACACAATCTAAGTGTCCATATAGCTTAATAACTATGCTTTAGCTCTGTAACAAGAGATATCTGAAACACTTAAAATAGCTAGATACATCGAAAACACAAAGAAGCTAAATTCTGTCACGAAACGTTAGCTAGCATGCTAACACACAATGTTAAAGAGAATAAGCAAAAGTTAGCGCAATTAGCTTAGCATAATCGGAATTTAGAAAACTAGAATAAACATGTAAAAAACATAAATATTCTAGAAATACAATTTGAATTAGTAAAAGCATTTTCTAATAACTCTAAAGTACTTACAGACTTATCTTTAACCAAGGCCTAGTAAGATGGAAAAATAGAGCTTGTCTGTCTGTTGTTGTTGCTCTGATTGTTCTGACAGGAAATACAGTGAGGGAAAAAAGTATTTGATCCCATGCTGATTCTGTACGTTTTCCCACTGACAAAGAAATGATCAGTCTATAATTTTAATGGTAGGTTTATTTGAACAGTGAGAGACAGAATAACAACCATAAAATCCAGAAAAAAGCATGTCAAAAATGTTATAAATTGATTTGCATTTTAATGAGGGAAATAAGTATTTGACCCCCTCTCAATCAAAAAGATTTCTGGCTCCCAGGTGTCTTTTATACAGGTAACGAGCTGAGATTAGGAGCACACTCTTAAAGGGAGTGCTCCTAATCTCAGATTTTTACCTGTATAAAAGACACCTGTCCACAGAAGCAATCAATCAATCAGATTCCAAACTCTCCACCATGGCCAAGACCAAAGAGCTCTCCAAGGATGTCAGGGACAAGATTGTAGACCTACACAAGGCTGGAATGGGCTACAAGACCATCGCCAAGCAGCTTGGTGAGAAGGTGACAACAGTTGGTGCGAGGATTCGCAAATGGAAGAAACACAAAAGAACTGTCAATCTCCCTCGGCCTGGGGCTCCATGCAAGATCTCACCTCGTGGAGTTGCAATGATCATGAGAGTGGCACAGTGGTCTAAGGCACTGCTAGCAGTGCCACTAGAGATCCTGGTTCGAATCCAGGCTCTGTCGTAGCCGGCCGCGACTGGGAGACCCATGGGGCAGCGCACAATTGGCCCAGCGTCGTCCAGGGTAGGGCAGGGAATGGCCGGCAGGGATGTAGCTCAGTTGGTAGAGCATAGCGTTTGCAACGCCAGGGTTGTGGGTTCGATTCCCATGGGGGGGCCAGTATGAAAAATAAAAAAATTATGTATGCACTCACTAACTGTAAGTCGCTCTGGATAAGAGCGTCTGCTAAAATGACTAAAATGTAAAAAAATGTAGAAAGAACGGTGAGGAATCAGCCCAGAACTACACAGGAGGATCTTGTCAATGATCTCAAGGCAGCTGGGACCATAGTCACCAAGAAAACAATTGGTAACACTCCTGCAGCGCCCGCAAGGTCCACCTGCTCAAGAAAGCACATATACAGGCCCGTCTGAAGTTTGCCAATGAACATCTGAATGATTCAGAGGAGAACTGGGTGAAAGTGTTGTGGTCAGATGAGACCAAAATCGAGCTCTTTGGCATCAACTCAACTCGCCGTGTTTGGAGGAGGAGGAATGCTGCCTATGACCCCAGGAACACCATCCCCACCGTCAATCATGGAGGTGGAAACATTATGCTTTGGGGGTGTTTTTCTGCTAAGAGGACAGGACAACTTCACCACATCAAAGGGACGATGGACGGGGCCATGTACCGTTAAATCTTGGGTGAGAACCTCCTTCCCTCAGCCAGGGCATTGAAAATGGGTCGTGGATGGGTATTCCAGCATGACAATGACCCAAAACACACGGCCAAGGCAACAAAGGAGTGGCTCAAGAAGAAGCACATTAAGGTCCTGGAGTGGACTAGCCAGTCTCCAGACCATAATCCCATAAATCTGTGGAGGGAGCTGAAGGTTCGAGTTGCCAAACGTCAGCCTCGAAACCTTAATGACTTGGAGAAGATCTGCAAAGAGGAGTAGGACAAAGTCCCTCCTGTGATGTGTGCAAACCTGGTGGCCAACTACAAGAAACGTCTGACCTCTGTGATTGCCAACAAGGGTTTTGCCACCAAGTACTAAGTAATGTTTTGCAGAGGGGTCAAATACTTATTTCCCTCATCAAAATGCAAATCAATGTTTAACATTTTTGACATGCGTTTTCCTGGATTTTGTTGTTGTTATTCTGTCTCTCACTGTTCAAATAAACCTACCATAAAAATGATAGACTGATCATTTCTTGTCAGTGGGCAAACGTACAAAATCAGCAGCGGATCAAATACTTTTTTCCCTCACTGTAGCTCTGAACCGAAAGTTTGCAAATTTTCTTTGCATTGGCTGCCAGCATCCTCCCAAATGGGTTTGTTGGTATTTAAATAGTGTTTGTAGGTGATACACCACCACACGAATGCTATATTTCTGAGGAGTATGATGTCAGTGAGATGTAGAATGTACAATGAATGGTGTGTCACAGCTTAGCTCTTGCTTAAGGCTCAAACTGGAGACAGTTAGAAACTTCTCTAACCTTAATATCATCCCAAATGTGGATATCAACGTGAGTGAAATTGAGCTGGAGAGTTGCTTGGACGGTTGGAAATACAGCAAAGAGGTCTACCAGTCAACAATTGTCACTGAGGTGAGTCAGGAATATTCATGATATACTTTCATTCTAACATGTAAAACATCACACATTTTACAGTACAAAACATTTGTCTAAAATCATATGTACACACCTTGTAATTCAGGTAAATTGGTAAATATGGAATGATTGCTATACAACAAGAAAATCTATCAGACTTTGTTTTTAAAGTTCAAGAAGTAGTTTTCTTGAAGTGTGTCGAGATGATGTCCATAAGTCCTCAAAATGGCATATGCAGCTTGACATGAAATGTGAAAATGTCAAGTTAACTTTTGAAGTGAGCTCAAGTTACATGTATTAAATATTAACTGTCTGCGATTGGGGAAAACAATCTTCTGTTGAAGAGCACAGATGGCGTAGCAATGCGGTCGTGTTCTTTGTTGTGTGTCCGTGTAAATAGCCAATTTTTTTTATATTTTTCGTACATATTTCCCTATCATACTTTTCATCCAATATACTTTCCTGCAACCCGCCTCACTCAATGTGGAACGGATACTATTATTTACTCACCTTTATCTAGAATCTCCAGTTGAAACTAGCTAGCCAGCTAACTAGCTACTTGCTATTAGCCACCGTTAGCGGTTTTCACCCAGAACATCAGATTTTCTGCCAGAATAACTGAATCACTGGACCCTAACACCGGATCGCAACTAGCTAGCCACAACTGAATGGATGTTGCTGTAGGCTAATCACCAGTACCCCCGAAGCAAGCACCAGTTAGCCAGGATATGGGCCTGGCTCAAGGCTATCTACCTCTTTGTCTACCGGACGGGAGTAGCCAGCTAACTGGCTACTTGCTATTAGCAACCGTTAGCGGTTTTTCACCATTGTCCGTGGCCTGCACTACCTACCAGCCAGCTCTAGCCTGGACTATTATCGGCCAGTCTGCACTGTCTGCACAGCGCATTATCGACCCAGAACATATCGGATTTTCTGCCGGAATCACTAAATCACTGGACCTTTAACACCTGATCATCGCAACTAGTGCTTCCTGCTCGCTGTGCTTTAGCACCAATTCAAACTGCTCTCGGACTCACATATTGCTGTTCACTGGACCTTATGATCACTCAGCTGCACAGCTGATGCATGCTGGACTGTTCCTTTACACGGTACCCTGTCCTGTTTATCTGTTTAGCCTCAACCCAAACTTTCATCGCCATTACCAGTTGTTGTCTTAGCTCTCTCTAATAACACCTGTGATTGCTTCTCTCCTATGCCTCTCTCCTATGTCAATATGCCTTGCCTATTGCTGTTCCAGTTAGTTCTTATTATACAATTTCAATATAAAACCCCAAGTCATTCTCAAACTGCCTCAAATAGCTCCTTTGTTCCACCCCCCATACATGCCGAGACCAGCTCAATCGGTGCCTCCAGTGATGCTATCTCTTTCATTGTTACCCAACGCTTAGGTTTACCTCCACTGTACTCATATCCTTCCATGTCCTTGTCTGTACATAATGCCCTGAATCTATTCTACAACGCCCGGAAATCTGCCCCCTTTTTTGCTCTTTTGCACCCCAGTATCTCTATTTGCACATAATCTCTTGCACATCTAGCATTCCAGTGTTAATACTAATTGTAATTATTTTGCACTATAGCCTATTTATTGCCTTACCTCCATAACTTGCTACATTTGCACACACTGTATATATATTTTCTGTTGTATTTTTTTGGACTTTATGTTTTTTTTTACCCCATATGTAACTCTGTGTTGTTTTTATCGCACTGCTTTGCTTTATCTTGGCCAGGTCGCAGTTGTAAATGAGAACTTGTTCTCAACTGGCTTACCTGGTTAAATAAAGGTGAAATAGAATTTTAAAAATCTCAGTACCCAACGCACTAGAAGTTCTTAAAGCCATTAGCCGTATCCTTATTCTAGTCCTCCTCTGTTCCTCTGGTGATGTAGAGGCTAACCCAGGCCCTGCAGCCCCCAGTATCACTCCTACTCCCCAGGAGTTATCATTTGTTGACTTCTGTAACCGTAAAAGCCTTGGTTTTCTGTACGTTAACATCAGAAGCCTCCTTCCTAAGTTTGAGTTATTCATTGCGTTAGCACACTCCGCCAACCCTGATGTTCTAGCAGTGTCTGAATCCTGGCTTAGGAAGGCCACCAAAAATTCAGAAATGTCCATCCCCAACTACAACATTTTCTGTCTAGATAGAACTGCCAAAGGGGGTGGAGTTAGCCTGCAGAGCTCTATCATACTATCCAGGTCTGTGTCCAAACAGTTTGAGTTCCTACTTCTAAAAATCCACCTTTCCAGAAATAAGTCTCTCACTGTTGCTGCTTGCTACAGACCCCCCTCAGCCCCCAGCTGTGCCCTGGACACCATATGTGAATTCACTGCCCCCCAGTACTGCTTGGTGACCTAAACTGGGATATGCTTAACACCCCGGCCATCCTACCATCCAAACTAGATGCCCTCAATCTCACACAAATTATCAAGGAACCTACCAGGTACAACCCTAAATCCGTAAACATGGGCACCCTCATAGATAACATCCTGAGTAACTTACCCTCTAAATACACCTCCGCTGTCTTCAACCAGGATCTCAGCAATCACTGTCTTATTGCCTGCGTCCGTATCGGGTCCGCGGTCAAACGACCACCCCTCATCACTGTCAAACGCTCCCTAAAACACTTTAGCGAGCAGGCCTTCCTAATTGACCTGGCCCAGGTATCCTGGATGGATATCGATCTCATTCCGTCATTAGAGAATACCTGGTTGTTCTTTAAAAGTGCTTTCCTCTCAATCTTAAATAAGCATGCCCCATTCAAAAAATTCAGAACTAAGAACAGATATAGCCCCTGGTTCTCCTCAGACTTGACTGCCCTTGACCAGCACAAAAACATCCTGTGGCGTACTGCATTAGCATCGAATAGCCCCCGCGATATGCAACTTTTCAGGGAAGTTAGGAACCAATATACACAAGCAGTTAGGAAAGCAAAGGCTAGCTTTTTCAAACAGAAATTTGCATCCTGTAGCACTAACTCCAAAAAGTTGTGGGACACTGTAAAGTCCATGGAGAATAAGAGCACCTCCTCCCAGCTGCCCACTGCACTGAGGCTAGGAAACACTATCACCACCGATAAATCTACAATAATCGAGAATTTCAACAAGCATTTTGCTACGGCTGGCCATGCTTTCCAGCTGGCTACCACTACCCCGGCCACCAGCTCTGCACCCTCCGCTGCAACTTGCTCATGCCCCCCCCGCTTCTCCTTCACACAAATTCAGACAGCTGATGTTCTGAAAGAGCTGCAGAATCTGGACCCCTACAAATCATCTGGGCTAGACAATCTGGACCCTTTCTTTCTAAAAATAGGGGCCGAAATTGTCGCAACCTCTCTTTCGTAACTTCTGAGATCCCCAGAGATTGGAAAGCTGCCGCGGTCATCCCCCTCTTCAAAGGGGGTGACACTCTAGATCCAAACTGTTACAGACCTATATCCATCCTGCCCTGCCTTTCAAACGTTTTTGAAAGCCAAGTTCACAAACAGATCACCGACCATTTCGAATCCCACCGTACCTTCTCCACTATGCAATCCTGTTTCCGAGCTGGTCATGGGTGCACCTCAGCCACGCTCAAGGTTCTAAACTATATTATAACCGCGATCGATAATAGACAGTACTGTGCAGCCGTCTTCATCGACTTGGCCAAGGCTTTCGACTCTGTCAACCACCGCATTCTTATTGGCAGACTAAATAGCCTTGGTTTCTCAAATGACTGCCTCGCCTGGTTCACCAACTACTTCTCAGATAGTTCAATGTGTCAAATTGGAGGGCCTGTTGTCTGGACCCATGGCAGTCTCTATGGGGGTGCCACAGGGTTCAATTCTTGGGCAGACTCTTTTCTCTGTGTATATCAATGATGTCGCTCTTGCTGCTGGTGACTCTCAGATCCACCTCTACGCAGACGACACCATTTTGTATACATCTGGCCCTTCATTGGACACTGTGTTAACAAACCTCCAAATGAGCTTCAATACCATACAACACTCCTTCCGTAGCCTCCAACTGCTCTTAAACACTAGTAAAACTAAATGCATGCTCTTCAATCGAATGCTGCTGGCACCCGCCCACCCGACTAGAATCACTACTCTCGACGGGTCTGACCTAGAGTATGTGGACAACTACAAATACCTAGGTGTCTGGTTAGACTGTAAACTCTCCTTCCAGACTCACATTAAGCATCTCCAATCCAAAGTGAAATCTAGAATCGGCTTCCTATTTCGCAACAAAGCCTCCTTCACTCATGCTGCCAAACATGCCCTCGTAAAACTGACTATCCTACCGATCCTTGACTTCGGCGATGTCATTTACAAAATCACAGTGCCATCCGTTTTGTCACCAAAGCCCCATATACTACCCACCACTTTGACCTGTACGCTCTTGTTGGCTGGTCCTCACTACATATTCATCGTCAAACCCACTGGCTCCAGGCCATCTATAAATCACTGCTATGCAAATCTCCGCCTTATCTTAGCTCATTGGTCACCATAGCAACACCCACCCGTAGTATGCGCTCCAGCAGGTATATCTCACTGGTCATCCCCAAAGCCAACACCTCCTTTGGCCGCCATTCCTTCCAGTTCTCTGCTGCCAATGACTGGAACGAACTGCAAAAATCTCTGAAGCTGGAGACTCTTATCTCCCTCACTAACTTTAAGCATCAGTTGTCAGAGCACCTTACCGATCACTGCACCTGTACACAGCCCTTCTGAAATTAGCCCACTCAACTATCTCATCCCCATATTGTTATTTATTTTGCTCATCATCTCTATTTGCACATCTATCATTCCAGTGTTAATACTAATTGTAATTATTTTGCACTATGGCCTATTTATTGCCTTACCTCCATAACTTGCTACATTTGCACACACTAGATAGATTTTCTGTGGTATTTTTGACTTTATGTTTTGTTTTACCTTATGTAACTCTGTGTTGTTGTTTTTATCGCACTGCTTTGCTTTATCTTGGCCAGGTCGCAGTTGTAAATGAGAACTTGTTTTCAACTGGCTTACCTGGTTAAATAAAGGTAAAATAAAAAACAGTGTCACTGATTCTTTTGACAAATCATGATTTAGTGCACTGATTCCTTAGACAAATCAATGTTTGTGTTTGAAGTGGAGGCAGAGATTTTAAGTTTTTTAACCGGAAAGTTTGTAGTGCTTCTGTGGTGACGAGGGGACAAATCTTCTGTGTCTGCTAGTTCCGATTTTGACACTTTTGCCCCCAGAAGTAAATGAAGTGGCTACCCTCATGCTGGGCTGGGAGCAACATAGATCCATAGTCAAGGGTCCTCCAAGCCTACAAAGGCTTCCATCTTCTACACTGATTAGTAGCTGATCTGTCGGTCCCTAATGGTTTGTTTCGCAGTGGGACCTGGTATGTGACAATGAGTACAAACAGCCTCTGACTTCCTCAATATACTTCCGTGGTGTTCTGGTGGGAACCTTTATCACAGGACAGCTGTCCGACAGGTGTGTATGACAAAGACAAGTTTGGAAAGTACAAAGAAACATCACATGAATAAGTACTTCTGTGGTTCTTACATTGAGTTGTGAAAATATGAGAATAGTCCATAACAAGTCTAGTGACCATCAACCGGCACCTTGAGTGTCACAAACACTGGAAATCATGTGTATTACAGAAATTGAAAATATATTGACATGCTTAACATTGTGTTAATCACTCTAAACTGAATATGAAGTTTAGTGATCTTAAACATCCCCATTAAAATCATGCAATACAAAGGATGTTATGATTTGACAGTTCATAGATTTGATTTGGATTGGAGCACTTCACAAGGAATACTTTTCTTACTGCCATATCTTCACTGTGTATCTTTTAAATTCCATTAATAGGCTAAAATCAGGGATGGGCAACTCCAGTCCTTGGAGGCCTGATTGGTGTCACACTTGCCCCATCCCCAGCTAACACACCTGACTCCAATAATCAACTAATCATGATCTTCAGTTTAGAATGTAATTAGTTTAATCAGCTGTGTTTGCTATGGATTGGGGAAAAGTTTGACACCACTCTGGCCCCTGAGGACTGGAGTTGCCCATCCCTGGAAATAATAAGCCCATTAGTTGTTCATAACTTGTTATACCACAAATATATGGACTCATCAACCCAGACTTTTGACAGGTTCGGAAGAAGGCCGGTGCTCTTTTCCATGATGGTATTACAGACTGTAGCCATATTCACCCGGGTATTCTCCCCAAGCTGGGAGGCATTCAGCGCCATCTTCTTATTTGTGGGCTTTGGTGGATTCTCCAACTATGTGGTAGCTTATGTGTTAGGTTTAAGACAAACTTTAATAAAAAATTAACTTCCATTAATTCCTAACAGCCCAACTTCAGATTTATCCAGTAAGCACAAATTACACAATACACCTTTTACCTGTGTGCTGGTTGGTGTCTGCAGGATCCGAGATTCTGAGCGTGTTCATGGGATCTGGTTTGGGCCAAATGTTCATACCAGCGGTGGCCTACTTCATCCGTGATTGGAGGTGTCTTCTGGTGCCCATGGCAGGTTCTGGACTGATGTACATCCCCCTCTGGTGGTCAATTGATGAATTGAGGACCCTCAACACGGTCTAGTTGAGGACATGGTCTAACTGTCCTACCTACTGCATGTTTGATTTGCACAGGTTAATCCCAGAGTCTCCCAGATGGCTGCTCTCTCAGGGAAGAGTGGAGGAGGCTGAGGCCATAATGAGAGATGCTGCCAGGAGGAACAGAGTTGAAGCACCAGAGGTAATCTTCACTCCCATTGAGGTAAGCAATTACCTTTAGTGAATAGGTCTAGATTTGAGGCTAACATAAAAGGTCACACATGCACTATAGCTACAAATAAAAAAATTGATACAGCGACAATTAGGCCTATGTGACAAGTGAATTTGGGCTACACCTCAAAAACACAGCAAAATTGAGGTTGGAAGGGGGGAAATCCTAAGGTGGAAAGAGAATGTGCATTGCTAACTTGGAAGCTTTTAAACTTACAGTATTTCTCTCCTACAATAGATTGAGGTTGCCCGTGAAAATTGTGGTCCTCTGTAACTCAGCTGGTAGAGCACGGCGCTTGTAACGCCAAGGTAGTGGGTTCGATCCCCGGGACCACCCATACACAAAAATGTATGCACGCACGACTGTAAGTCGCTTTGGATAAAAGCGTCTGCTAAATGGCATATTATTTATTATTAAAATATGGACAAGAAATATAATTTCTTGGACATCCTACAGAGCTGCAACATGGTCTCAATTATACTAATTTGTTCTCTTCTGTGGTAAGTCGTTGTGATGAGTGTGATGGAAGGAGTCAGGCGCAGGAGGGTAATCACCGAATACAGAGTTTCTTCCTTAGTGGACACACAAATACGCTCAAATAGCGATCAACGAAACAGGCACAGGGGAAACTCTCATCCCAGTCAAATACACTGTAACGGTAGAATCAAATATACATAGGCACAGGGGGAAATCTACCCTGGCAACAAAATGTACGAGTAGCTCCACCGAGCTACACTACTCTCACAAATAACAATCACCCACAAGGACAAGGGGGCAGAGGGAACACTTATACACGGACTAATGAGGGTGTTAGAACCAGGTGTGTGTGATTGATAAGACAAGACAAAGGTGATGATGATTGGGGCGGCAGTGGTTAGTAAGCCGAAACCTGCCCGAACAAGGAGGGGAGGCAGCCTCGACTGAAGTCGTGACAGTCGTGCTCTCCACTGCATTATAGTTGTATTCCTAGATATGTTTAAGATACCAGAGTCTTATCACTCATTAAAGATAGACTCTTCTTTATGATATTGCCACGAGCAGCACCGCACATTTTGCTCTCAGTCACACAGAGTATCTATGCATGTGCACGAGTGCCTTTTTAGTCAGCATGCTAGGCTAGTTTATGCTTAGCAGCCCGTTGGATTCCATGACCAAACATTATATAGTAGTCCCGTGTAGCTCAGTTGGTAGAGCATGGTGTTTGCAACGCCAGGGTTGTGGGTTCGTTTCCCACGGGGGACCAGTATGAAAAAAAATAATTATGCACTCACTGACTGTAAGTCGCTCTGGATAAGAGCGTCTGCTAAATGACTAAAAAAAATGTTAAAATGTAGTAGCTGCAGGAAGTGTTGTGGAATCCAATGGGATGCTTTAGCATGAGCTAGCCTCGCCCATTCATAGAAAGTAATGCTAGCACGATAGAATGTAGTCACATACATGTGTGACCGACTGGCTCGATTCGGTCTTATGTAGCAAAATTTGAAATTGTGTTTTTTACATTGGATAAAAGTAGCGACTCAGAGCTATAAAATGGTATATCATACACTACAGTTGAGGAACAATGGTAAAGTCATTCTGCTTTGAAAGTTGATAAACTTGTAACCCCACTTTTGAGAAAATGAATGTTTTGGTACACCTATTGGAGAGCTCTTCTTTGTCTACACCCATTCAGCATCATTCACACCCTCTTAAGCCTAAGCCCCACCTATGTCTTTATGGATTCACATGTGAGGCCATGTACTAAACAACCAAAGATTTCAAGACTAAAGGCTGGTTTATACTATGTCTATCGACAGTTGTTGCCGTGACATCATGAACATTCTATTGTCGTCCGACATCAAACTTGTCATTGTCGTTATGAAAAAATATGAACACAAAAACTACAGGCTGCATGACATCAGCAGCCTGGTGGTCTAAAATAGCATAACTGATGTATTTTAACACCAATAAACCCAACCGTTTAAAAAATAATTGAGAATATGTCAATCTAGCAAACCAGGCAACTAAAAGCAACTTTTGGTTTGTTTCTAGCTTGTTAGCTAGCTAGCTAACGTTAAGTTAGCTGGCTAGCTAGTTCAAATAATGACCATATCATATACAGTAGCTGACAATGTCTTCACTTTAACTCATTTGTATTCATTATTACAAGAAAATATACTCACAACAAGATCATTATTTAGAAGTTAATGGTGAGCTAATTACAGAAAATAGCTTATGGTGGTGAGTGTGACGAAATAAGAACAGGGCATTCTACCGGAGAACTTTATAATTTGGACACTGTCTCTTTGGCCTAACGTTATATCCTAATTTGACTTTGGTGCAGGTCATGTTGTTCTTCACATTACCGTCTCTGGTAAACACATAGTATATAAAATATAACCAACGTTTATTTGTCACATACAGAAGATGTAAACGGTACAGTGAAATGGTTACTTTTGTTTAGACATCTAGCTAGCTAGCTAAACAATTAACCATAATCCCAACTCATAACATTACTACTCTGCATGAATCTGCAGGTAGCTAACCAACTAGGTTCAATGTTAGCTAGCTAGATAACATTAGGCTATAACTAGCAATGCAAATGGCTCTGAGATACAAATAACATTAATACACAGATCATACAAGTAACATTAGCTAGCGAGCCAGCCAGCATTAGCAAGTTAGCTAACAGTACGCTTTAACTTACAATGAAAACAACTTTCTGACTAAATTAGAAATGTATATCTGAAAATGTAGCTAGCTAGACTCTTTTACCCGTATACATGGATGAACGCTTCTCCCTCTCTGTTACGGATGCCATGGTTTCCCTTAGTTTGAAGATGTAATCCGGAGACAGGTGTTTTATACAACAGCAGCATTCTGTGTGTTCTCTTTTCGACTCCCTCTGCATATTTGCAATCAAACGTCAGAATTTTCTCAATTTCTTTAGCTATCATATTCTAATTCCACTGGGCATTCCACTGATTTCAAAACCCGGTCCTCCAGAAAGTGGAGAGCAACACTTTTGCAATTCTGCGATGTGATATATATATTTTTTTTTAAGCGAGTTAGAAAGGATTACCTACACATACTGACCAGCTCATGTTATAGACAGAAGCGTGCTACATGGTAGACCAATCCGAACTCATCTCTCAGCATGTCCAGCCTCATCCATTGTCATGAAAACAGCCGAGGCTGCCCCTCCTCCTTGCTCAGGCAGGCTTCGGCGTTCGTCGTCACCGGAGTACTAGCTGCCACCGATCGATGTTTCTGTGTTACACTAGTCTTGTCTTTATTATTCACACCTGTTACCCATTATGCTTATATGTTTCCCTATAATTACCTCTGTTTTCCCTGCTGGGTTTGTGCATCATTGTCCGTTGTTTTACGTCGTTTGGTGAGCTGTTGTTCTGCTCTTCCCTGCGTGGAGGGTTTGTTATGGTTTACTTTTGTTTTAGTAAATCCATTCATTTCTCAGTTCTGTGTCCTGCGGCTGATTCCGTTACACCACTTCACCCAGACATTGACATCCATTCATTATCTCAGCCAATCATGGCTAGCGGGAAGGTTCCTGTCTTTTTCTGTGGTTAAACCTCTTAATTTAACAATTGTATTTGTATTTACAGATGGCATACAAGTTTGTTATTAAGGCACATGAAAGATCACCTGTTCGAGATGGCATTTCTGCCACAAAACCCATTTTGATAAAAAAATAAAATAATGTTTTACGTTCAAATGCCTCTCCTGTGAAGTAGTGATGCACAACATATTTCCTGAAACAAGTCACATACTGTATCTGAAGTGTACGAATAATGCCCCGATGCTCCTACACTGCCCCAACTCTCTGTCTAAATGTTAATACGCCTTGGTTGCAATATGGTTTTAGAAACATCTGGAACGTAACTTTCATATTACTACACACCTTTATAACACGATTCCTACACGGCCATATTTCCAAGTTACAGCTTGTTTATGTAAGAGAGGGGCGACCACCTGTTCTAATTAGCTATGTAACGTCTCCGAACACCTGTGTGTACCGGAAAAGAATGCCAGAAAAGTGTTTTAACTAAAAATATTGTAACTGAAAAATACTATCAGCTGCAACTGTGTTAAAACAGTGTACAGTAAGTGTATATTTTGCATTTGTAAAAGGATTTTGGTCTTTATAGTTCTATCCGTTTTTCTTCGTATTATCTTCAGAAAATTGGCATGTCAGATTGGCCTTGGCGGCGCCGGAGAGGATGGCTGCCGTTTTATGGGCTCTTAACAAACCGTGCTATTTTGTTTGTTTTTTCGCATTGTTTGTAACTTATTTTGTACATGATGTTGCTGCTACTGTCTCTTATGACCCAAAAGAGCATCTGGACATCAGAACAGCGATTACTCACCTTGAACTGGACTAATAATTTTTCTTTAATGAGTCGGACGAGAGGGATTTGCTCCAGACACCCGACAGGGCCCTCATCCCCATCATTCACAGTAGAAAGAGAAGGAGATATCGCAGAAGGAGATCGGGGTGCCTGGTAAGGAGCTGGCGACGAGTGGCTAATCTGCCTTTGCCATCGGTACTATTGGCCAACGTACAATCACTTGATAATGAAGTGGACGACCTACAAGCACGCATATCCTACCAACGGGACATTAAAAACGGTAATATCTTATGTTTCACAGAGTCGTGGCTGAACAACGACACGAATATCATACAGCTGGCATGTTATACACTGTATCGGCAGGATAGAACAGCAGCCTCTGGTAAGACAAGGGGTGGCAGTCTATGTATATTTGTAAACAAAAGCTGGTGCACGATATCAAAGAAAGTCTCAACGTTTTGCTCGCCTGAGGTATAGTATCTCATGATAAGCTGTAGACCACACTATCTACCAAGAGAGTTTTCATTTATATTCTTCGTAGTTGATTATTTACCACCACAAACCGACGCTGACACTAAGACCGCACTCAATTAACTGTATACGGCCATAAGCAAACAGGAAAACACTCATCCAGAGGCGGCACTCCTAGTGGTCGGGGACTTTACTGCAGGGAAACTTACATCCGTTTAACCTAATTTCTACCAGCATGTTAAATGTGCAACCAGAGGGAAAAAACTCTAGACCACCTTTACTCCACACACAGACACACATACCAAGTTCTCCCTCGCCCTCCATTTGGCAAATCTGACCATAATTATATCCTCCTGATTACTGCTTACAAGCACAAACTAAAGCATCAGTGACTTGGTCAATAAAAAAGTGGTCAGATGAAGCAGATGCTAAGCTACAGGACTGTTTTGCTAGCACAGACTGGAATATGTTCCGGGATTCTTCCGATGGCATTGAGGAGTACACCACATCAGTCACTGGCTTCATCAATAAGTGCATCGATGACGTCGTCCCCACAGCGACTGTACGTACATACCCCAACCAGAAGCCATGGATTAAAGGCAACATCCGCACTGAGCTAAAGGGTAGAGCTCCCACTTTCAAGGATCGAGACTCTAACCCGGAAGCTTAGAAGAAATCCCGCTACGCCCTTCGACGAACCATCAAACAGGCAAAGCGTCAATACAGGACCAAGATCGAATCGTACTACACCGGCTTCGACGCTCGTCGGATGTGGTAGGGCTTGCAAACTATTACAGACTACAAAGGAAAGCACAGTCGCGAGCTGCCCAGTGACACGAGCCTACCATACGAGCTAAATTACTTCTATGCTCGCTTCGAAGCAAGTAACACTGAAACATGCATGAGAGCATCAGCTGTTCCAGACGATCAAGCTCTACGTAGCCGACGTGAGTAAGACCTTTAAACAGGTCAACATTCACAAGGCCGCAGGGCCAGACGGATTACCAGGACGTGTACTCCGAGCATGCGCTGACCAACTGGCTGATTCTGTAATATCATCATGTTTCAAGCAGAACACCATAGTCCCTGTGCCCAAGTACACTAAGGTAACCTGCCTAAATGACTACCGACCCATAGCACTCACATCTGTAGCCATGAAGTGCTTTGAAAGGCTGGTCATGGCTCACATCAACACCATTATCCCAGAAACCCTAGACCCACTCAATTTGCATACCGGCCCAACACATCCACAGATGATGCAATCTCTATTGCGCTCCACACAGCCCTTTCACACCTGGACAAAAGGAACACCAATGTGAGAATGCTATTCATTGACTACAGCTCAGCGTTCAACACCATAGTGCCCTCAAAGCTCATCACTAAGCTAAGGACCCTGGGACTAAACACCTCACTCTGCAACTATATCCTGGACTTGCTGACGGGCTGCCCCCAGGTGGGAAGGGTAGGTAACAACACATCCGCCACGCTGATACTCAACACGGGGCCCCTCAGGGGTGCGTGCTCAGTCCCCTCCTGCACTCCCTGTTCACTCATGACTGCATGGCCAGGCACGACTCCAACACCATCATTAAGTTTGCAGATGACACAACAGTGGTAGGCCTGATCACCGACAACGACGAGACAGCCTATAGGGAGGAGGTCAGAGACCTGGCCGTTCGGGAGGAGGTCAGAGACCTCCCTCAATGTGATCAAGACAAATGAGATGATTGTGGACTACAGGAAAAAGAAGAGGACCGAGCACGCCCCCATTCTCATCGACGGGGCTGTAGCGGAGCAGGTTGAGAGCTTCAAGTTCCTTTGTGTCCACATCACCAACAAATTAACATGGTCCAAGCACACCAAGACAGTCGTGAAGAGGGCACGACAAAACCTATTCCCCCTAAGGAGACTGAAAAGATTTGGCATGGGTTCTTAGATCCTCAAAAGGTTATACGGCTGCACCATCGAGAGCATCCTGACTGGTTGCATCACTGCCTGGTATGGCAACTGCTCGGCCTTCGACCGCAAAGCACTACAGAGGGTAGTGCGTACGGCCCAGTACGTCACTGGGGCCAAGCTTCCTGCCATCCAGGACCTCTATACCAGGTGGTGTCAGAGGAAGGCCCTAAAAATTGTCAAAGACTCCAGCCACCCTAGTCATAGACTGTTCTCTCTGCTACCTCACTGCAAGCGGTACCGGAGTGCCAAGTCTAGGTCCAAGAGGCTTCTAAACAGCTTCTACCCCCAAGCCACAAGACTCCTGAACATCTAATCAAATGGCTACCCAGACTATTTGCATTCAGACATTTATTTCACAGCAATTTATGACTTGTTGGTCTCATCATTTTATTAATATCAGACTATTATCAATCATCATATTGTTATTAATATCATAATTTTAACCCATTACTTGACCTGGGTTACATGTACCACAACCAGTATTTGCAATCTTAGAGAGCTATAAATACTGTATGCTGACTGCTGATTGCAGTATTTATGTCCTTGTCCTCTTGTCCCTTTAGGATGGTCATCACCATGGCCTACTATGCACTGCTATTCAATACCACAAACCTGCATGGGGATTCCTATATCAACTTCTTCCTGTCTGCAGTTGTAGAAGTGCCAGCCTATATAATCGCTATGTTACTGCTGAAATTTTGCTATCGAAGATTCTGCCAGTCATCAACTCTGTTTCTTGGCGGTTCTGTTATTCTCTTCATCCAGATTGTCCCAGCAGGTAATATTAAAATGTCATCTCTAGTCTAGGGGACACACTATATTATGTTCAGTTCATTATTAACAAAGCAATGTAAAAGCCATAAGTGTTTCCTACTTCACATAATTAAATACTGTTTTATTTGTGTGAAAAAATGAGCTCTTCATGGCCATTTGATATGCGTGTGTGAAAGTCAAGTATGTCTTGTCAGAGCTCTGATACAAGATATTAACCCCTGGCTAAAGTCGCCCCTCATATCTCCCTGGAGTGGCCATCTTCCTGGAGATGGTGGGGAAGTTTGGCATCACCGCAGCGTTCTGTGTGGTGTAAGCCGTCACGTCGGAGCTCTTCCCCACTGTGGTGAGGAACATGGCCATGGGGGCGTGTTCCATGGCAGCACGCATAGTCACCATCTCCCCCTTCATCATCTACCTCGGTAAGACTAATCAATCAGGTAATCAATCAGTTAATTAATCAATCAATGCCAATATTGGACTGTTAACAAAGTGTATCTATCTAATCTTGCTCTCTTTTTACCAGGTAATTACTACAAGTATCTGCCATATATTTTGATTGGGAGTCTGGCTGTGTTATCCGGCCTACTGTGTTTCATTCTACCAGAGAGATTTGGATAAGTCTCCCTGAGACAATACCACAGATGCAGAACCTTAGAGGGTAATTCATGTATTTCATAGGTGTTATAATAGTTAATAGCATATGGTAATGTTTCATAGCTTGTTCTTATGATGGCATAATGATACTAACAACAATAATGAAAACAACAATGTTTATTAATATCATAATTGCAGCAATTATCATTAGGAATAGTATTAGAATTATAATAACAATTGTAGTAGTAGTAGGTTGCAAGTATATGTTATATAATGTGCTACACTTATACATCTCTCATTTTGCAATAAGTTCGGAAGTAAGAAGAAAACTGCAAATACAAGTAACAATCCCATTGTAGAAAAATAAGAAAGATTTTAACTGACTCACTTTGTTACTTCCCACAAGACACTGTACATAATAAAGGTTTTTAATGAAAATGTTTTTATTTATATCTCATATGTCATTATTCATATACACTGAGTGTACAAAACATTAGGAACATCTTCCTAATATTGAGTTGCACCCCCTTTTGCCCGCAGAGCAGCCTCAATTTGTCGGGGCATGGACTACAAGGTGTCGAAAGCGTTCCACAGGGATGCTGGCCCATGTTGACTCCATTGCTTCCCACTGTTGTGGTTGGCTGGATGTCCTTTGGGTGGTGGACCATTCTTAACACACACAGGAAACTGTTGAGCATGAAAAACCCAGCAGTGTTGCAGTTCTTGACACACTCAAACTGGTGTGGCTGGCACCTACTACCATACCCCGTTGAAAGGCACTTCAATCTTTTGTCTTGCCCATTCAAGTCTCAACTGTCTCAAGGCTTAAAAATCCTTCTTTAACCTGTCTCCTCCCCTTCATCTACACTGATTGAAGTGGATTTAACAGCTGACATCAATAAGGGATCACAGGATTCACCTGGTCAGTCTATGTTATGGAAAGAGCAGGTGTTCTTAATGTTTTGTACAATCAGTGTATATACAGTGGTTTCGGAAAGTATTCAGACCCCTTGACATTTTCCACATTTTGTTACGTTACAGCCTTATTCTAAAATGGATTAAATAAATACAAATCCTCAGCAATCTACACACAATACCCCATAATGACAAAGCGAAAACAGGTTTTTATAAATGTCTGCTAATTTATTAAAAATAAAAAACAGAAATACCTTATTTACTTCAGTATTCAGACCCTTTGCTATGAGACAAGAAATTGAGCTCAGGTGCATCCTGTTTCCATTGGAAAGGCACACACCTGTCTATATAAGGTCCCACAGTTGACAGTGCATGTCAGAGCAAAAACCAAGCTATGAGGTCAAAGGAATTGTCAGTAGAGCTCCAAGACAGGATTGGGGAAGGGTACCAAAACATTTCTGAAACTTTGAAGGTCTTCAAGTACACAGTGGACTCCATCATTCTTAAATGGAAGAAGTTTAGAACCACCAAGACTCTTCCTAGAGCTGGCCGCCCGGCCAAACTGAGCAATCGCGGGAGAAGGGCCTTGGTCAGGGAGGTGACCAAGAATCCGACAGAGCTCCAGAGTTCCTTTGTGGAGATGGGAGAACCTTCCAGAAGGACAACCATCTCTGCAGCACTCCACCAATCAGGCCTTTATGGTAGAGTGGCCAGACAGAAGCTACTCCTCAGTAAAAGGCACAACCCGCTTGGAGTTGAACAAAGGGCACCTAAAGACTCAGCATGAGAAACAAGATTCTCTGGTCTGATGAAACCAACATTGAACTATTTGGCTTGAATACCAAGCGTCACGTCTGGAGGAAACCTGGCATCATCCCTTCGGTGAAGCATGGTGGTGTCAGCATCATGCTGTGGGGATGTTTTTCAGCGGCAGGGACTGGGAGACTAGTCAGGATCGAGGCAAAGTACAGAGAGATCCTTGATGAAAACCTGCTCCAGAGCGCTCAGGACCTCAGACTGGGGCGAAGGTTCACCTTCCAACAGGACAACGACACTAAGCACACAGCCAAGACAACGCAGGAGTGGCTCCGGGACAAGTCTCTGAATGTCCTTGAGTGGCCCAGCCAGAGCCCGGACTTGAACCCGATCTAACATCTCTGGAGAGACCTGAAAATAGCTGTGCAGCGACGCTCCCCATCCTACCTGACAGAGCTTGAGAGGATCTGCAGAGAAGAATGGGAGAAACTCCCCAAATACAGGTGTGCCAAGCATGTAGCATCATACCCAAGAAGACTCAAGGCTGTAATCGCTACCAAAGGTGCTTCAACATAGTACAGAGTAGAAGGTCTGAATACTTATGTAAATGTAATATTTTTTATTTATTTGTATACATTTGCAAACATTTCTGAACCTGTTTTTTGCTTTGTCATCATGGTGTATTGTGTGTAGATTGATGAGGGAAAAAACAATTTAATCAATTTTAGAATAATGCTGATACCTTACAAAATGTGGAAAAAGTCAATGGGTCTGAATACTTTCCGAAGGCAATGTATTTACAATATCATCACTAATAGGCTTACATCTACATTTCCTGAGCTGATCAAATATACAGTCAAATATACAGTCAAAGCTGGTTATATAGAAGCAAATAGTTTCCATGCCAGAGCCCTCCCCCCACAGGATCACAACTAAAAGCGAAAGTAAAACTGGCTGCTATGAAAACACAGCGCAAGTCTGTTATCCTTGGTTCCCTCCAACTTTATTTATGTTAAGGATATTTTCTGAATATTTATGGATGTATTCATTCAAATGCATTTTACTATGGAATATGATCTTCTCACTGCATTGAAGGTGAGTTTGCATGTTGATGTCCAAGGATATGATAAAACAATTACTTAGGCCTTAGGGATTGCCAAAGCAATGTTTTCACAGAAGATTGGTCAAAACATGGTTGTGTATTTCTGTTGTTCATGTAAGAATATAATACTAAAATACACTCAAATGTGTATATTGGTAATAAAGCATTTAATAACTTGCTCCATAGTTTCATATAATCTGTTACTCACATGCTATGTGAGAAAGCAAAAGTGAAAGTGAGGGATTGTTAAGAAAATGCCCTTCTCTCGTAGGCTACTACGCATTTTTTTTTTAACTCGTCCCCCTTACCTTGAATTGCTGTAACACATAAGCAGCGTAGTTTCATTCAGGCTTTATAATTGATGGACCTCAGTTTTAGAATGTATAGGTGTTTGCGCTTGTGGGTGTTTTTGTGTGGGTGTGTGTGCTTGCGAACGTGTGTGTCCGTGCTTCTATGCCTTTGTTTGTACATGTTGCAGATACATGTGAATATCATTACAGAACATTTGTATTTCCGTACTTTAATGTCTCTTTGGTGTCAGAGTTTGTGTATATTGGAGGCAAATTGTCACTGGTAGGGTTTAAGTAAAATGTGTAGGGTGCTGTTTTATACATTTCCAAATATTCTGTGTAGGTTGGCCCATTGAAGAATGTATTACATCAATGCTTCTCTTTCTTTCCTTGTGACATACAGTACCAGTCAAAAGTTTGGACACACCTACTCATTCAAGGGTTTTTCTTTATTTTTGGGTAATTCTTCAACTATGGTACTCTTTGAGCTAGACAGTTTCAGAAAAGAAAAACATTTCTACAAACAATTTTTTAGTATCAGTTGGTTTCTCAATCTGTCTGGAAACCTTCCCTGAAGTTGGCTGTGATGATTTGTATTTACTAATATATATTTTTTGCCATTTTTATCTGACAGTCCAAGAAAACGGTCATTTCCATCACATAACAAAACATGTATTTTTAAGAGAAAATAATGAAATATCTTCTGTTATAAATATATTTGATTAAATAGCACACACATATCTGTTCAAATTTGTAATTTATTATTTTTTTCAGAAATGTAACTGTAAAGATTTTACAATGTTTACACTAAAAAACACCTAAAACTAGGTCAATGGAACATTTCATTTTCTTATCATAGCTCAAAATCATATATTTCTCAAAGTGTATACACAAATCTTAGCCATAACTGCACAATTATCAACACCACTGAATATAGTTGGTTTGATTGTATGTTTTTTATATGTTTTACTTTAAAATATGTGTTGTGGTGGAAATGACATGGCGTGGCGGAAATGACAGATAGGCAACTTCCAATTAAAAACAATTTTTCTACTGCTCTATGTGGTGAACCAGAGCAAATCAATAAGCAACAGCATTTGTGAACAAAAACATATCACCAATATTTTTAAATTAAAAACAATCCAAAAAATGAAAAAACATGAATTTGTGTTAAAAATCAGCAAATCATTTGTTCACTGTTTTCTACATGCTGAACTAGAGCAAACTAGTACAAACTAGAGCAAACCCTTTATGTCATCATTACCTTAACATAACCTTAATATAACCAGTTGAATAACAGATAAAATAGGCAATACGCCAGGACAGCGGAGTCACTCACCACCTTCCGGAACATTTGAAACGACGCCAGGCGGAGTCACTCACCACTCGACATTTGAACCCACCTCTTAAGAATACTGGGATAGCTAAGTATCATTCTAACCCCCCCCCCCCCCCCCCCATGAAAGTGGTTACCATGGCTAGGTGAACGCACTCATTTGTGAGTCGCTCTGGTAAGCTCTAAATGCGTTATGTGCCTTGAAGGCACTAACCCATGCTCTGTAGCCTCTGTTAAGACGTCGAAAAGATAAAATGTAATGTATGCAATATATTTTGAAATTGAAAACTTATATGCCTATGCTGAACCAGAGCAAACACTCTGTACTTAAACCAATTACTGTCAATGTGTGGTATACATAAATCGTAAATCCATGTACTGTCAAACGTAATCATGTGGAATAAACAGTTTGAATCTGACTAAAT